ACAGCAAAGAATGGTGGGCAGGAGACTGTTGAAGTTCTTATCACTTGACTTTTCTCCATCTCTCCATATAGTCTCCTCTGGACTGGTGGCCCAAGATCGATGCTGTCTACTGCTACTCTGGAGAACTGCGGTCTATGTTCAACGACACGTTGGGCCGGGTCATACAGGGCTTTGGGACCCATGCGCCCCTCCGCATGACACCGGTAAGGTTCTGTGCCTCTTTCCCTCAGGTGTCCAGGTGGCGTGACCCTGCTCCCTAATCCAGAACCTTCTAGGTGACAGACCACTCTACCATGTGGGGAAGCCATAAAGTGTATGAATAATATGACATCCGGGAACTCTTCCATTCTGTGGCCTGACCCTGCAATCCTTTCATTGCTCCATGGTTAGCTGGGAAATTCTCTCCATTTTTCTGCTGTAGCAGGCATATTTTTGTCAGTTCTGGGGATCTTCTCTTCTGGTCATTTTGATCCATTGGCCATTTCATTTGGTGGTATTATGCTTTACTCAACAAAGATCCTTCTTGAAGACTAGGGTTACAAAGGTGCGTTAAATTTCCGGAAACTTTCCAGAAACTTTCCATTCCGTGGGAAATTAAGATAGGGAATTTTGGGAATATTCCAAGTTGGAAACTTTCCATGGGAATTACCAGGAATATATGGGAATTAATGGAAAATTCCCAGAATTTTGCAACCATATTCAAGACTCCTGCTTACTTCTGGTTTGGTTCCAGCTGTATCCCGCTTTCTGGTTTTAATTACTGTCATACCAATTAAGCTGCTTCTGATCAGGAAATATAATCTGTTGACCCAAAGAGGAATGTAAAAGCAAACCCCTGTTTAAAGTCTGGGTAGGACAGGGGAGAGGATGGTTGCCATGTCAACCCACCTTGACCATTTCTATTTTAAAGCTCTTCTTGGTGTTCTTCCTGCGCTAAGGAAGACAATTATTTTGTTGTCCACTCTTCCACACCCAATAGAGCCAGACATTCAAGGAGAAGATGACCAGCCTGAAGTTCAAAGAGAAGACCACTGATCTGGACACTAGGAGCCATAAGCACCTGTTGCTGGCCATGGTCAAGCTGATCCACGCCGACCCAAAGCTCATGCTGCATGTAAGCCTCACAGGGTCGTGCCACTAGATGTCTCTTGCTACAAACTGAGACACCAAATCAACATGCCACTGCCACTGAGAACTGAGCCGTGCTGTGAACTGACGGTTTCCCGTTGTAAATTGTGCAAGCTATACCCCAGCTGACATGGGGCTGAAAGTGTGACCAAACTGGGCTAGTTGCATTGGCACCATCTAATTAGGCTTAATGCAAGGAGATACTGGTGTTCTGTGTCGATAGGCATGAATTATCTGAAGGAATAAAGGGCATATTCTATATATTATTAATTATTAGTAGTATTGCACATTGCGATGTACGAGTCTCCTAGACGTGCTAGCAGAAAATAGCACAAAGTTAATCATGATGAATACTCTGTGAACAGTAAATAAGCAGGTCTCACGTCATTGTCGCTCTCCAAATTCAGCAACACCTTTTTCTCAGCCGACCCTTTTGCAATGGAAAGCCGAAGCAAGCTGGAACTGGTCTCTTGTCGCGGTTGGGCTCGATTCCTGAATGCCAGTGGAGAAGCATCAAAATTGTGTACTGTCCTGGTTGAGTTTTCATGCCCTCTATTCCGAAAGATATCTAAGGCACAGTGAAGGTGAGAGGATGGAGGGACATGGAGCAGTCGTCCCAATTTGGGCTTCAGCACTGTCCTGAGTTTAGCGCAGTTGAGCTTTGTTATTCACCGTGTGAAACATCACACAGAAAAATCAAGAATTTCATGGTTCGCTTCTTGACTTTTCTCTTCTCCCACCATCCAAGATTTTCGTTGCTGGAAAGCTGATTTGAAATGCTTGGTTTGTGCTCATTTAGGGCAGGGGATTATTTTGGTCAATCCACTTGAAAGGGCAAGATTTATCGCAGATTATCCCAGAACTGGGAACGACCTCCCAGCTCTCATTTAATGGAAGTTGTTGAGTCAAGGCCAGGATTTTGTTACCTGTTGTGTGACGAGCTTTGCCAGCGGTGACTTCTTGCTGTGAAAACGTTGGCACTTCGCAGCACTGAGCCGGGACTGGAATTTGTATTCGTTTTGCATATCAGTAGGTGGTTTTGGTTTTTTGGCTGGGTGGAGGTAGTGGATTATTTTCAATAGTCTAGTCTGCATCTGGGGTGAGGACAAGGCCTCATGTGAGCTTTGTCATCTGTGTAGGGCCAGGAGATGCAGAACAGCACAGTGGACCTCATCATGGGCCTTGTTCAGTTGGTGCCCTTGGCCAGCATGCCTGAGATCTCCCAGGAGGCCATGGAGGTTGGTATCTTTATTTCTTCAGCTTGTTATTGCTCATTGTGCTTCTTGGCCCTGGGTGTGGCCAGTCATAGTACTGATCTGCCTTTACAGTATCTGTCGTAAAGCATTGCTAGAAACATTCTGCCATAGGGTGCGCTTATTATCTGCCTCAACAGGCCCTGCTCGTCTTGCACCAACCTGAAACCATAGCGCTGTGGAACCCAGATGCACCAATGGAGACCTTTTGGGACATCAGGTATCACTGTTTCTGCTGCCTAAAATGTGTACAGATATGACTGTGAGCTAACTCAGCTCTGCTCTGATGTCGACTCAACCCCTCCCAGCTCACAGGTCCTATACCTTATCTGCAAGAAGCTGATTGGCCATCAGATGATTAACAGCACAGAGATCCTCAAGTGGCTGCGGGAGATCCTCATCTGCAGGAACAAGTTCCTCCTCAAGAACAAGGTGGGCTCATGTGCCGCGGCATCATGAGTTGCCAAAGCTGGACATCCCAAAATTCCAGTGCCAAACTTGACCTTATTCATGGTGGGATTGACTTTGCAGCCAACAAACTGGTTCACACCTCCCACCTTCTCCTGGTCTTTAGGAGTGTGCTACCTTGGGGAGCGGCATCCCCATCTGCCGGCAGGCCCAGACCAAACTAGAGGTGTCCCTTTACATGTTCCTGTGGAGCCCCGACATGGAAGCCGTGCTGGTGGCCATGTCCTGCTTCCGGCACCTGTGCGAGGAGGCCGACATCCGTTGCAGTGTGGACGAGGTGCCGGTGCAGAATATCCTGCCCAATTACAACACCTTCATGGAGTTTGCCTCCGTTAGCAACATGATGTCCACAGGTGGGTGGGTCACCTGCTTCAAAAACCAACCCCCTCCATCCTTTAGTTTGTTTCCTTTCTGTTTTGTAGTTTGGAAATGTTTACAGGGATGATGGCCTCCTTTTTCGCAATCTACCTCCGTAGCACTAGAGGGCAGCAATGTCCACAAAAATCTCTTTACTGTGCAGCTGTAATGACTGCTGCACAATTACCTAGAATGATGTATGTGTTTATGGCTGTTGAGTATATAGTGAAATGAGTGTAAGGTGAATACATTATGTAAGCAAATTGCTAAACATCTATAGTAATTAAGCAGCATTAAGTTTTGCAAGTTGCTGTATTAAGAACCTATTTTGACAGATAACCCTTCTGGGGATTTTCACAAAGCAGTAGTTTAGATCGTGTTATCAGTGTACAGCCGCCACTGAAGGCAGACCTCTATGTGCATGCAGGTCGTGCCGCCCTGCAGAAGAGAGTGATGGCTTTGCTGAGGAGGGCAGAACACCCCACTGCAGGAAATACTGAGGTGAGTGTGAGGCACTGGGGTCCTGTCCAGGCTTTACCCCCCAGCCTAGCGTCCTGTGCTGTCTGGGAGGGGGCCCGGGCCGGCCCGAGGTTTAAGCGAACTGGGCAGCTGTTTCGGACTCGTTGGCCATCGGCGGGACCCTCTATCTGATCAGACTGTCAAGGGAGGGAAGGTGACGACCGCAGAGGTCTTCTCTGTCTGACGGTGCCCTTCCATTGCGCAGGCCTGGGAGGACACGTACGCCAAATGGGAACAGGCCACCAAGTTAATCCTTAGCCACCCGAAAATCAAGATTGAGGACGGCCAGGTGAGGGTCACGTCCCGCGGCTTCCCTCCTGTACCCACGTCGCAGGAATGACCACTGCTGGGGAGGGACGGCTTATGTACTCTAAATGCGGTGCTCTGTCTTCCTTCTGTGGTGGAAGCAGTAATTTTTGTGTTTATATGTAAATAAATTCTTGTATTCCCACACGGATAGCCATGGGGTAAATTTCAGTAAATGGCTGCATTTCAGGCGCTTTTACCTTACTTGGCTCCACTCAGTGCTATTTTACTTAAAGGACCTTCATTGACCAGAATTTGTGTCCAGGTCACTGATGTGTAACTGGTGTCTTCATTCTGAGCTTCCTGCCTCGTCATGTGACTTGTCATGTGACCAGGGAGTAGCTCGAAATTTTGGGAGGTGCAGGAAGCCCTGCCCGATTTAGGGGCCACTATTAAGTGCTGGGCCCCTTGAATCCGCTAGGATACTCATGCCCCTTCGATGCCCCTGCATGTGGCTTGTGTCCTGCACAAGAGAAATCATTCCTTTCTGGCTATTGGTCAGGATGAGCGACCAATCAGAAATAAGCAGGATATAATCGATGTTATTGAGCTGAGGATTTTTGGATAGTGCCTTTCTTAATAAGTTTGCCCCAAAGTACTTGAAGAATCAAACAAATGTCACTAACATACCACTGTTTAGGATACTGGCAGACCAAATGAATAATGGACAATAAAATTTTTATTAAATTGAATTAAATATAATTTGATTAAAGGCTTGTTTTAAAGGCAAGCTTGAATTGCATCTGGTCCACATCATTGCATATTGAAAGTAAAACTCAAATTCCGTCCAAACATAGTAATGGGTCTTGGGACTGGACCTCTCTCGCCCGCAGGAGTGGATCAACATGACGGGCTTCCTGTGCGCCCTGGGGGGCGTGTGCCTGCAGCAGAGGAGCACGCCCTGCCAGCCTACCTACAGCCCCCCCATGGGCCCCCTGGCCGAGCGCAAGGGCTCCATGATCTCTATGGGGTCCAGCGAGGGCAACGTGGACACGCCGCTCAGCAAGTTCCTGGACCGCCTGCTGTCGCTGATGGTGTGCAACCACGAGAAGGTGGGCCTGCAGATCCGCACCAACATCAAGGACCTGGTGGGCCTGGAGCTGAGTCCTGCGCTTTACCCGATGCTCTTCAACAAGCTCAAGAACAGCATCAGCCGCTTCTTTGACACTCAGGGTCCGGTGGGTGGCCCTTCCATCCTGCCGTCCTATGCCTTCCTATGCGTGCCGCTTAGCATTTAGCATAATCCCGCTCGTGCTCTCTAGGCTGATTCATACCTCTGTGTAGAATCTTCGCCCGCCAGCTGCGTACCCTGCGTTGTCCCTGGCGTGTACTTCCCTAGAAACGGGTGGATCAGTGACGGTTTGGGCTGCAATACCATAACATTCCCTAGGCCCACTACAGACTTGCAGCTTTGCCAGAGGGTTCATGGATACTGTCAAAATGTCAATCAGCCTTTAACCCAACGTGAAGATGTGTGATTTACGAGAAAATGTGAAGCTGTCAGAAAACGCTGCGGGTTTTTGCACTTGGAGAGTAAGTTGCTATGTCACATTTTAAATGGGCAGCTTAAAACGCCGGCCTGCTGATTTTGTGGCTTTCCGTCATTCAAATTAAACCAACGTGGGGGGGGGGGGATCTCAAATTTCATCGCAGGTTCCCATCAATGACACCAACACCCAGTTCGTGGAACAGACCATCGCCATCATGAAGAACCTTCTGGACAACCACACCGAGGGCAGCTCTGAGCACTTGGGCCAGGCCAGCATCGAGACCATGATGCTCAACTTGGTCAGGTGCTGAGGACTAACCAAGGCCTGCACAAATAATGCATATCGAGCATTCTAATAAAGCATTCCTTATGTATCCGCACTGGCACAATGAACGGATTCAATCACTTTATCCATGCCGACTTTCATCAGACTCTGTTGAAACTACTGTTAAAAGCCATCACATTGATATTTACATTTATTAAATGCACAGAATGATAAATATCTATGTTTCTTGCATGAAATGGGAGGAAAACAGGTGTTTAAAGTTTAAGTCTCACCAGATGTCACGTCTCACCTCCACCCGCTCCCCCCACCAACACCCCCTAGGTATGTGCGCATTCTTGGCAACATGGTCCACGCCATCCAGATCAAGACCAAGCTTTGCCAGCTGGTAGAAGTGATGATGGAGCGTAGGGACGATCTCTCCTTCTGCCAGGAGATGAAGTTCAGGTGACACGAGGCGCACCTTTTTGTCCTGTCAGATGGCCTAGTTACAGATTTTAAAAAAGCATAAACAAATATGGTGATTCTTGCAGCCGTGTACATATCCATCACCCTTAGTGACCCTGGCTGGCATACTTGAAAGTACACACCTGACGGTCTCTGTGTTCCTCCAGGAATAAGATGGTGGAGTACCTGACGGACTGGGTGATGGGAACATCCAACCAAGCAGCCGATGACGATGTCAAGTGCCTAACCAGGTACCCACAATCCACCTCTTCACCGTCACGTTGTGAAGGCCCTTCCTTATGCCTGTTCTCACATGCTGTGTTTAATCCAAGTCTGGGTTTGGGGGAAATGTCCAGGCATCGGTTACTTTAAGACACAAGATTCTGATTTGCTTATTTTTCCTGATTAATGGCTAAGCTGGCACACCTTGACGGGCATGATATCATAATTTCACAACAACGCTGCAAATCATTTAAACTTGATTCTCTTTGGCAGCCTGTAACTTTTACACCGTATTGTACTTTTAGTGTCTTCTCTGTCGCGCCCTGAAACCAGCAGCAATAGTGAAACTGCACTCAATAGTGTCGTCAAACAGCAGAGGTATAACCCAGGGCTCGTCTCCTACAGGGACCTGGACCAGGCGAGCATGGAGGCTGTCGTCTCCCTTCTGGCAGGGCTGCCTCTGCAGCCGGAGGAGGGGGATGGCGTGGAGCTCATGGAGGCCAAGTCACAGCTCTTCCTGAAGTAAGCGCCTTCCGCTCTGATGGCTTTCTCATGCATCCCACCAGGTGGCGCTATGGAGACCGTGGCGCGATCTCTGTAGCAGTCGTCACACACGCGCGCTTTCAGTGATGCGCTGACTTGCGGCTTATCGAGTAATGTCCTATTGTATATACCTCCCAAAAATTTATCGAGAGTCATCCAAAGCAGAAGTGGTGGACTTTAGCTGACGTAGTTCGCCGTGTGTGCGGCATGCGACAAGAACCAAAACAAACTGATAGTTCAAAGTGTGTAATATTGTATCTTATGTTGCATAATGTATTTTACATTGTCTGTCCTATAATAGAGAGACGTTTTCACTTCCGGGAAGAAATCTGGACCATAGTCGATAGACACCTCTAAAAATATATATATATATATATATTGTGTGTGTATGAACATATGTGACCACAATGTGGAAGCATGATCAGTGTTTCTTCCCCCCCGTCCTATTACGGATATCAGTTGGTTAACAGCTATATTACAGTCAATCAGTAGACACTGTATATACAGGGGTAAGACTGTGACGCTGAAATATCTGGCCGGTGTGTTTTGGTTTCACACATATATATGCACGACCTGGTGGCAGATCATCACTGCCTCATATGTCAAGAAAAAAAACTCTTGAGTGCTTTGTGGAGCTTCCTGTCTGAGTGAGAAGCGTTTTACAACGTTTCAGCCATATTCAGAGCCTTGTAGGAGGAAAGGTGCATGAGATACTTTTGTGAATTGTACAGACAAAAGTCGCAAAGGTGTAAATGCCACATCAAAGGGACTATAACTGTGGAAAGTTGGACTGAAAGGCTCATTTGGCAAAATACATAAAATTTATAAAAATTTCAAATTTTTCTCCATCTGGTGAACTGAATATGGAATGACTTTTAACTAACCAACCAACAAGCCAATAAAAAAGCTTGGCTAAACTGTTATTCTCCTTAAACAAGTTGCACCCTCTTTGCCGGGTTTTTGCACACCCGCCAACTGTCAATGCCATGCATTTCTGATGTTATGGTTCCATTCTGCTTTTGGCATCTTTTTGCAGCTTTTTTTTAACTGAGGGTAACACTTCTGTGACTTTACATTTGCTCGCTATGTTTTTGAGGTGACCAGTTCGTTACATCTCTGCCCTGGCATTTAAGGACACACAGTGCGTAAAACGAACTTATTTTTAAAGGTGTGTAAGTTCCTGTCCCGTGACCGTACCACGTCATGGTACATTGTACACCCCCATGCAACATGCTTAAAAACTTGATTTAGGCTTGGGCGTTGTTAAGGTCTTTTTGTGTACTGTGATATTTTAAGTGTGCTGTGGGTTCTGTCTATTTTACCGGTATGTTAAATATACCGACCACTGGTTTCAGATGCTGCTGCTCTAAATAAACTTTTATAGTCGGATGTACATTGACCTCTTTTGGGATTCAGATGTACAGACTTTTCATCAAAGTGATTAGTTTGTTAACCGCTACACCCCCTGCTGTCACCCGTAGGTACTTCACCCTGTTCATGAACCTGCTGAATGACTGCAGCGAGGTGGAAGACGACGGGCAGCCGGTGGGTGGGCGTAAACGGGGCATGTCCCGCCGCCTGGCCTCGCTGCGCCACTGCACCGTGCTGGCCATGTCCAACCTGCTCAATGCCAATGTTGACAGCGGCCTCATGCATTCCATTGGTGAGTCTGCCTGCGGCTGTTCCGGAATATTCTGTTGTAGCCACATGTCAATTTATGAAGAAGCTGGTGGAAAATACAGTCACAACCTCTTTCAAGCCTGATGGCAAATTAGCCGTAAATAGTAAATAAGTTTTATTAAGTTAATGAGGTTGTCAGATTTTCCGTAGGTCTGACACTACTCTGTAGGTCCTACTCCATAGGACTAGTCCTTAAGCAGCGTGTGATTTCTCAGGAAGTGTCTTGATGTCTCCTTGTTCTGCCTGTTCAGGCCTGGGCTACCACAAGGATCTGCAGACCCGAGCCACCTTCATGGAGGTGCTGACCAAGATCCTGCAGCAGGGCACGGAGTTTGACACTCTGGCCGAGACCGTGCTGGCCGACCGCTTCGAGAGGCTGGTGGAGCTGGTCACCATGATGGGTGACCAGGGAGAGCTCCCCATCGCCATGGCGCTGGCCAACGTAGTGCCCTGCTCGCAGTGGGTGCGTCCTCCTGTCCCGACCCTCTGCCCCGGTTTGTGGATGTTGCCGTTGGTATCGTCACTGGAGTCGGTGTATTCATCAACCCCCCACCCCCCCACAGGACGAGCTGGCCCGCGTACTGGTGACGCTGTTCGACTCCCGGCACCTGCTTTACCAGCTTCTGTGGAACATGTTCTCCAAGGAGGTTGAGCTGGCCGACTCCATGCAGACGCTCTTCCGTGGAAACAGCCTAGCCAGTAAAATAATGACCTTCTGCTTTAAGGTACGCACAGTCTCCCTCACCACCTTTCGAAGTGCACAGCTGTAAATAAAATGATTTTAAATGCCACAAATGGTTCCTGTAGTTCAACGGGCAGAGAGCATTGGTCATGGGATCTAATTGTAATTGTACACATTGTACACTTTAACTGTAACCCTTCCCTCTACTGTAAGTTACTTTAGAAAAAAGTGTCAGATTAATTAAATGAGGAGCTGAGGGTTTTTTTGTTGAGTGTCAGCGTAGGTTTATTGCCAATCAGTCCGCTGAACGACGGCTCCCTCATGGTCCAGGTTTACGGCGCCACCTATCTGCAGAAGCTGCTAGAGCCCCTGCTCAGAGGAGTCATCAATACGCCAGAGGCACAGCAGATCAGCTTTGAGGTTGACCCGACCAGGTAGGTTGGCCATTTCTCCGTCCCTGTGACCCCCCCCAGTGGGTCGTACCCAACAGGGACCCTCGTGACAGGGTCAGCGTGACGCTGCGCCTGGTCCCACGCTCTCAGACATCATTTTCCTACATTTTGGGTTCAGAGGGCGCTTTTCCACCACTCCAGGTACCATAACTTTGGTACTGCAAGAAAGTACCTAAAGTACGGTATTTCAAGGTGTCGGTTATCCACTGATGTAAAAACTGGTACCGGCGCCGAATGACATCACAATGTGAGAGGAGGTATTTTGTACGGAATTTGAAAAATGGCTGTATTATATTATAGGGCTGGACGATGTGCGATATTAATACCAGCATTCCTAACCTTCATTCTTTATGGCATTATAGCAGCTTCGCTAAAATATTTTTTACTCTGTCATAGGAAAAAAAACTGCACGTTTTTTCCATTTTAATGATTATTCCTTTTCAAGATTTAGTATAATGTTTAAAAATCCATTTAAAGTTTACCTTTTGCTGCTTTTGCATGAGCACTGCATGCATTCTCCGAGATCATAATCATTTTCATCCTTGCTGTTTAAATCACTCCTAGATGGGTTTGTGAGGCATTTGTTAAACTCATTTTTGCTATATAAATACCCCAATATTTATTACAACAAAATTATCTTGCGATATTATGAAAAATTTCCAATGCAGCGCTGTCTTTATTTAAATACTTTATTTCTTGTCACATCATCCTGATTATGTAACAGAGGTTGTATGGTGTTTCAGAGGTTGTATGGTGTTTCAGAGGTTGTATGGTGTTTAAGAGGTTGGCTATTTGCATATCAGATTGACTAGAAAGTATTTCTGGTTCCACCCCAAAGTGCCGAAGTACCAAGTAACCCAGCTGGTTTGGAACGCCTGGTACTGGTGCTCAGCCAGAAGTCAATGAAACAGAGAAAGTACCGAAAGTACTTGGTGTGGTGGAGCAGTGCCAAGACTGGGGAGATCGATCACTGGTAGACCTCCATCAATTACTAACTGTCTCCCCCCGGCCTATAGGCTAGAACCAAGCGAGTGTCTGGAGGACAACCAGCGCAACCTGCTGAGGATCACAGATCGCTTCTTCCTGGCCATCATCAGCTCTTCGTCTGACTTCCCCCCACAGCTGCGCAGTGTGTGTCACTGCCTGTACCAGGTACGCGCCGCCCCCCCCGTGCATTGTGCGTGCTTGGGTGTGTGATAGTGCCCACTGTGCTTTCCCCCCCCTTGTCTCCCATGCAGCGCTAACACATCGCCAGTCCTCTCTTCCTCTCTTGCTCTCTTCCTCTCCTTCACACACCATTAATCATTCCGCGGTTTCTCCACAATAAAACAGTGGTGGCCCCGGCCACCCCCGCACCTCCGTGCACTTGGACAGCCCCGTGCACGTTGCAGGACCAGGTCCTGTGCACGGCATGAAGCAAACCGCAGCTTGATCTGTTGGCAGTTCTGGGCCCGCGATCATCGCACGCTCACAAAGTCCGAAACCTACAACACCGCCCCCCCCCCCCCCCCCCCCCCCCCCCCCACCCCCC